AAGACTATTACACCATTCACTAGACAGGTTTGGGTCAGAAAGTCAGAAGTTATCTGTTATCCCACCATTGTTCTAACTGCATCTACAACTGATACTAGATGGTATTTCGACAGTGGTTGTTCCAGACATATGACAGGAAACATTAAATGTCTGATGGCTGTTCAACCTAGCAGTGGAGCTGTAACTTTTGGAGATGGACAAAAGGGTAAAATCGTTGGGAAAGGAGTCCTAAATGTTCCAGGTTTACCTCAGTTAGAAGAAGTCTTGCTAGTCAGTGGATTAAAAGCGAATCTTATTAGCATCAGTCAGTTATGTGATCAAAATTGGAATGTATGCTTCGATCGTAACTGTTGCAGAGTGAGTGACAAAGCAAATCAACTTGTCATGGAAGGAACTCGGTCTTCAGACAACTGTTATGTTTTGACAAATGAAACTGCTTGTCACCTATCCAAATCTGATGAATCAAAACTCTGGCATAGACGACTGGGTCACATAAATTTCAGAGATATGGATAAGTTGATAAAACTTGAAGCAGTAAAAGGTGTACCGAAGATCAGAGTTGATCCAGAGAAAATTTGTGGCGCATGTGCTATTGGGAAACAAATCAGAACTCCACACAAAGCAGTAAGAGGTATCATCACTGAGAAATGTCTAGATCTTGTCCATATAGATCTCATGGGGCCAACACAGACTGAAAGCATTGGAGGAAAGAAATATATATTTGTGTGTGTAGACGATTTCTCTCGATACAGCTGGGTTTACTTTCTGAGAGAAAAGACAGAAGCCTTCAAGGCCTTCAAGACTCTGTGCATAAGAGTTCAGAAGGAAAAAGATGAGTCTATTATAAAAGTTCAGAGATTGAGGAGTGATCATGGAAAGGAATTTGAGAACTCACTATATTCAGACTTCTGCTCTGAGCATGGTATCTCACATGAGTTCTCAGCTCCTAGAACTGCTCAACAGAATGGAGTGGTGGAAAGAAAGAACCGAACGCTACAGGAAATGGCTAGAGTTATGCTACATGCCTCACATATGCCACAACGTTTCTGGGCTGAAGCAGTACACACAGCATGTCATACTATAAATAGGGTCTACCTTAGACCAGGGACGACGAAAACTCCATATGAGATCTGGAAGGGAAAGAAGCCAAATCTGAAATACTTTCATGTGTTTGGGACAAAGTGCTATGTGCTGGCTGACAGAGAACAAAGAGGGAAGTTTGAACCCAAAAGTGATGAAAGCATCTTTCTTGGATACTCTCCGAACAGTCGTGCCTACAGAGTCTACAACAAGAGGACTCAGTCTGTGATGGAGTCAGTAAACGTGGTTGTCGATGACAATCCAGAAGAACCAGTGGACTCAACAGTGATAGAGTCACCTCTACGTGATTCAGATGCAAGTAATAACAACAGTCAGCTCAAACCACAAGATTCATCAGATGAAGATCAAGAGAGTTCGGAACAAGAGATAGATCTCATGAATGATGTTGGTAAAGACAAACCCACCAGAACTCAGAAAAACCATCCATCAGATAACATTATTGGAGATCTGTCAGATGGAATGAAAACCAGAAGCAGAATAAGAAATAATCTGACAGAAATATCTGGGTCTTACTGCTATACCTCAAAGATAGAACCAAAAAATGTCAAAGAAGCTCTACAGGGTGATCTGTGGATCAATGCAATGCAGGAGGAGCTACATCAGTTTGAGCGGAATCATGTCTGGAATCTTGTACCAAGACCTGATGGTGTCAACGTAATAGGAACGAAGTGGATCTTTAAAAATAAAACTGATGAAGCAGGGAATATATCCAGAAACAAAGCTCGGTTGGTGGCTCAAGGTTATACACAAATTGAAGGGGTTGACTATGACGAGACATTTGCTCCTTTAGCTAGACTTGAGTCAATTAGAATCTTGCTGGCTGTCGCTTGCATTTTGGGATTTACATTATATCAGATGGATGTCAAGACAACGTTTCTGAATGGGTATCTCCATGAAGATATCTATGTGGCTCAACCTAAAGGTTTTGAAGATCCAGAACGTCCTTCGTATGTCTATAAGCTTCAAAAAGCTCTCTATGGCCTTAAACAAGCTCCACGGGCCTGGTATGAACGTCTGACACAGTATTTGCTCCAGCACGGATATAAACGCGGAAGTGTTGACAAAACACTGTTTGTCAAATCGACTGGAAGTCATGTAACCATAGCTCAAATCTATGTTGATGACATTGTGTTTGGATCGACCTTGCAGAAATACACTGATGAATTAGTACAAGTCATGGAGGAAGAGTTTGAAATGTCCATGGTTGGTCAACTGACATATTTCCTAGGTCTACAAGTCAAGCAAAGTTCTGAAGGATACTTTATTTCACAAGAAAAGTATGCTAAGAATCTTGTCAAAAAATTTGATCTGGAATCATGTAAACCATCCAGAACACCGATCTCCACTTCTACAAAAGTATCGAAAGATGAAACTGGTATATCAGTGGATAACACAGTCTATCGTAGCTTGATAGGCAGTCTGTTTTATCTAACAGCCAGTCGACCAGACATAATGTTCAGTGTTGGAATCTGTGCAAGGTATCAATCTGACCCAAAGGAGTCACATCTGATAGCGGCAAAACGCATTCTGAAATACGTGAAAGGAACGATACAGTATGGACTCTGGTATTCCAAGGATAGTGAACTGAATCTGGTTGCAAATTGTGATGCTGATTGGGCAGGGAATATTGATGATCGGAAAAGTACTTCTGGAGGATGCTTCTTTGTTGGGAAGAACTTAGTATCATGGTTAAGTAAGAAACAGAACTCTATCTCACTAAGCACTGCAGAGGCAGAATACATAGCCGCAGGTGGTTGCTGTACTCAGTTGGTTTGGATGAAACAGATGTTTCTGGATTATGGTCTTACACAAGGAACAATGACACTCTTTTGTGACAATGCCGGTGCTATTAACATCTCCAAGAATCCTGTTCAACATTCCAAAACGAAGCATATTGACATCAGGCATCACTACATCAGAGACCTGGTTGAATCCAAGGAAATTGAGTTGGAATACATTCAGACTGACAAACAACTGGCGGACATTCTGACTAAGCCACTGGATGCTAATCGTTTTGAAATTCTCAGATCTGCTCTGGGAATTTGCAGAATTAACTGACTAAAGCAGTAGGTCCGTCAGAGAGGAGTTGGTTTCCTTAAAGACTCCTCTCTTTTTATGTTAAGAAGATCATCTCAGTTTATTCTTCTCAAAAGATATCTGAAAAGATCTCTATGCTTTTTGAATTTCAAATTCCCTTGGGTTCCGTTTCCTTCCTAAAAAGGAGCTGTACCGTTGTGTCCATCAATCACTTCTGCATGATATTTTGACTTGCCGCATTAATTAGGGTTCATCACCCTTAAGACTATATGATACCGGGTCAAGAAGAAAGAAATCACCTCAGCTTTCATCTCTCCACTTCCCGTGCTTAACTGCTCTCGGTGTTCTATTCTTCTCCTCGCACTTAATCTTAAATGGCGAACCCCGTAAGAAACATCATCATTAAGCTTGGAAGCAAGGTACATCCTCCGGTGGCAGCCCTCAAACACATTCAGACGCTTCTACAGTTGGCTATGAAGAAGAAGCTCAAGCTTGATCCTCTGCTTCGCGACGAGATTCTGGTGACTGTTATGACCAACTATCCGGAGTTTTATGCTGAATGGTCGGCAAATGATGTAACTGAACTTCTTGTATTGGTCGCCGAAGCCAGTGATGGCGTCTCTCCAGTGTTTATTCCAGAACCCTTCGATGGAAATCGGGCCGGGGCATTCCTTCAATTTTTTGCTCAACGTGCCCTACAATCTGTTGAAGAAGCTCGACGTCGAGAGGAGTCCCAAGCTCTGTATCTTGAAGCTGCTCAGAGAGAAGCAACACACAAACAGGAGATTCTTCGACAACGGGTAAATGACTCTGAAACTCCTATTGAAATTTCTCCAGATAGACCTGTTGATTCTTCTATTCCATCGACTGTGTCTGTTTTGCCTGAAAATCAATCTGCTTTGGGTTCCGAGAAGTCCCCTGTGAATGTTGATCTTCTATCTTTGCCTGTGACTAATTTTGCTGGTGAAAAATCTGATGCGTTGCGTGTGTCTGATGAGAAAACAAAGTCTTCTGATGAGCCAAATCCACTGAGTCTGGTTGTTTATGCTTCTGAGAATATTGCTCTGCCTCCGTCTGAAACTGTTAATGTCTCTAAAGAGTCTTGTCCTGCTGTTGATCCTCCTGCCTTACGTACAACTGTTAAACCTGTTGATTTATCAAGTCCCCACAAGTCTGAGAAAACAAGTGGAGTTCCTGTTTACACTGCAACATCTTTAGGAGAAAGCCTGGAAGATGTGCGACATTTTGCTGGGTTAACATCTGCTTCGATGCCTCAACCTTATCGAGTGATACACCCTTCCGAATCCTCCAGTGAAGATGATAAGATACTGGCTGAGGTGTATGGATCCCAAGCACCTTCTTCTGCTGCCCCTACTGTTGAGGGAACTGCTCATCCTGATTCCACGAATTTTAGAATTCGAGAGATATCAAATATTGTTGGGAGCTCATCTGCAAATGTTTCTGAGTCTAGCCACTCGGTCACTCCTATTCAGTCCCCATCCAGAGAAACAAGACGGACAAAAAGGAAGAATGTTCCAACAAAGGTTGTTGTTGAAACCAGTGCTGATAATGTTGATGTGGATCAGCCTGTGAAGAAGAGAAAGTCGAGTGAGATTGCTAAGCCTGAAGGAGACCCTCCTATCCACCAAGTTTTCAAGACTCTACGTTCCTCTGTTAAGCAACAAGGAACTACTGCTGCTCAAGCTACTTCTGCACCAGCCCCCTCTGCCAGATAAGGGAAACCTACCACAAGGTCAAGAGGTCGAAGTGTAACTCCGGAGGTTCCACCTATTGAAGGAATTGATACTACTGTTTACAAACCTCAGTTTGTATCACCTGCTGCACAAACAAAATGGGCCACTATGGTCAGAAGGGAGCTGATTGTTCAAAGAATTGTGGATGAGAATCAACTGAACTCCGTTTGCGATATTCTGCCCTTGCTGAATGAAGTTGGTCTTTTGAAAACTGTTACAGATGTTTGCCCTTACTCCAAGCTGCTCACATATGAGTTCTATTGCAATCTCAGTGATGAGATTGACAGTCTCACAGGGCCACGACCGATGCAAATCTTCATCAGAGGGAAGTGGTATGATTTTGGGCCAGATGTAATAAATAAATACTATGGCTTGCCTACAGTGCAAGAAGAAGCTGTTACTGAATGGGACGTGGTGGCCAAAACTCTTACCGGTGGACATACTACATCTTGGCCTACAGGAGATAAGGACTATTTGCTGAGCTCGCATCTCACGTCTAGATATGTCATCCTACATCGCCTGGCTCTGCACAACTGGCTTCCATCAGCTCATTTCAACACAGTTGGCAAGCTTCTGGCAGGATTCCTATTTAGAATTGGAACTAAGATCCAGTGTGATCTGGGCAAATGGATTTTTTATCATGTTCTAACTCTGATTCATCCCCGGGAACAGAAGGTAAGACTACCGTTTCCAAATCTGATTTTTGGCATCCTTACCTCTCAGGGTCTTAAGCCTATGCCCAGCGAAGTGATCAGTCCGACGCTGCTATATACTGTTGATAAACGTCTTCTCTCTGGAGATCATATTAAGGATGTCGTTCCTGTGACTGCCCCATCCAATTCGGAACCTGATGCTGTGAATGATGAGTCTCCTCATGCTAAAGATGAGAAGCTTTCCGAACAATTGAAGGCGCGAGTTGCTGATCTTGAGATGGTGCACGGCATCATTGCCAAGCAACTGACTAGTGCGCGCATTGAGCTAGCTACTGTTCTTCTCCGCATGAGCTTGTCTGATACTGCTGCTGCTGCTGAGGATCCCGTGAAGTCTGACTGTGGCTCTCCCTCAAATGCTTAATCTTTGGCTACCATTGGCAAAAAGGGAGAGTAGTAAACTCAGGGGGAGTTTTTTTGTGATCGAGTACCTTCTGGCCCTGGCTGGGCGTTATGTTTTGATATCATTTGTTTTTGTTTTTAGACTACTTTGGATCTTATGTTCGTTTTATCCTATGTAATCTTTTTGGACACTTGGGTTGCTTCTTTTAATAACCTATCTTAGTTCTTTTTAAATAGTTGAGTTGTTTTGCCAAATAATAGCCAAAGGGGGAGTTTGTTAGTGTTTTTATGTTCAAAAACCCCATATTATAATTGGCAATATTATTATGGCATACTAAGATAGGTTTAGAGTCCGTCCGGTTGGGTCTACAGTTTACTGATCAAGCAGAAGCAACGACAGAAGAACTGACACTGAAGATCTGATTTAGGGAAGCTGTTTCCTTAAGAGTCTTACGCGGTATTATCAGCTCAGTATAGAAAGACGATCAGCGTATTTTCAAAGAAGGTAATGGACCTAATCTGCTGAGATTACATTCCTCTTTTATAGTCCTACCTTCTAAAATCAAAGATCTTTTATGGAGAGTGTTTATAGAAGGATCTATAAGTACCAGTTCTTAAAGGGAACTAGGGTTACGCCAAATAAGAAGAAGAAACACTCCATATCAGATTGATGAGTCTAGATCTTTGATGGTTATGCACCTTCTCAATACAACTTGTTCATGGTGATTAAGATGATGAACTTGAGAAGAGTTACTGCTGCTTAAACGAAAGGACACTAAGATCACACTGTTGTGGGAACAACCTTATAGAGCGTCACTGAAGTGGACTGCATCAGAGCTGGCTCTCCAAGTGAAGGGATTTCATTGGACTTCTGTATGCATGGCTCTCCATCTTCAACAATCCACTAAACCTATGTAGACTGGGTATGTACCTTGTGTGGGGCACTTGGGTAAGATTATTGTATATCTACCTTTGTACATTGGATTATGACTTAGTATATTGGACGCCTATGTGATCGTCCCCCAGACGTAAATACACACTGTATCGAACTGGGTAGACATTGTGAGTGTTCGTTCTGTGTGTTTGTTTATATTTCTCTGATGTTCTCTTCATGATCTATCATTACTAAGTAGGTGCTTAACTGAATCTATCAGTATTCTAAGTCAGCAAACTATTTCTGATAATTTTCGTAAAATGAGGAAATGCAAAATTACAACTACATTGTAATTGAGTCAATAGCATTCAAAAAAAGAGGGGAAGTAATTTTTCAAGAAAATGAGGGTATTTTTATTTAACCAAATAATTTTTTTTATAAAAAAAAACTTTTTCACTCTTTATCAAACACTGATACCCCTCAGCTTTCCAAACACACTTAATATAATCTCAAAAAAAGTAGGACTTCAAGGGTGACAAAACACACGTTTAGTTAAGTTGGAATATATCAACGCCATTTTATTCACACTATTATGATCTTTTTAGTATGAAAATCATATTTTACCTCTTTAACCAATTTTTGGGGCTTTTTTTGTTATTATTTTTTTTTTCTCTTCTTACAATAGAGCTAGTATCTCTACCAAAAAATAATAATAAAGCTAGTATTTTTACTTGGATGATACATTGGTCCATATTGTATGGTGAGCTATTGGCATACATGTTTATATTTTGAATGTTCATTTTTAGTGTATTGGAGATTTGTTTTTAGGATGCTATCTAATAATGAACATATAATAAATTAAAAATGAACTTTTAGTATATCAAAAATAAACATTTATTAATAGTTAACAATATAATTTATCGATTAGAATAGCAACAAAAATTCTTTTATAGGGAACAATTCAAGGTGATTGTTGGAGGGGAAAGTTTCGTTCTTGTAGGATAAATTCTTTTATAGTAACCACAAGAACATACTTCACCCAAAATACACTTTTGAATCTGTGAACTTTCTCATAAATCAAAGAATTTCTCCTTGAAAATATATTTATAAAATGTAAAATGTTTTTTCTAACTTAAATATTTAGCCCACGTAAGAATCCCTAGTTAATCTCATCCGTCAATTTTGATTTTGTGGTACAATCTCCCCCCTTCATTGGATCCTTCGCCCTTTCGATTGCGTGAAGTCAACGACGACCGTGGACATTTTAGCGCCAAAAATGATACGCAGTGTTTGCTTTTAACGAAGCAGTAAGAATCTGATGTTACGCGGTTTACGTCACCATGTCGCAACAACCGATCGCTCGTATCTACAAATATCAGACGTAGGATCACTTTGCCATTCCAATCCCACCGTCCAATGCTGAGAGTAGGATGAAATTGAATTTCAAAAACAGAGAGAGCGAGAAGATGCCTACTCGCTCTCAATCTCTTTTTCTCCTTCATTCTTCTTCCAAAAATCTCTTTCTTTTTATCTTTCCGCCCACAGATTTGCATAAGCCTTAGTGTTTGCGTCTTTGTGCCGGTAAAGATCGAGTTTTGGAATTTGTTTTTTTGAATCTGAGCTGCGCTTGATGACGAGTTTTTTTTTTTTTTTTTTTTTTTTAAAATGGAGTTTCTAGAACGATTTAGAATCTGAATGGTTCGAGTTCTGGAGGCTGTGATTGTTGGAGGGGAAAGTTTGGTTCTTGTAGGATAAAAAAAGAAGAAGAATTAGGCTTAATTTTTTCTGGTTTTGATTTTTGAATGGGAACAACAAGTGAGGGAGGAGATTTCCCTCCAAAAAAGGCTGAAATGGAGGTGTCTTCTTCGGCTGTGGATTTCCCGGCAAAGAAGCTGGCGAGGCAGCTGGATTTTACAGGGTTCGGCGGCGGAGGTGCATCGGCGGCGGCCGTTTTGCCGGACCAGCCGCCGCTCACGGCGAAGCAAAGCCAGCAGATGCCGCCGCAGCAACCTTCTATGCGATTTCTGTGAGTCTCTTTGAAGGCTCTATCAATTGATGCTTTTAGGCTTGTCAAGATAGATGTTCCCTTTAATCAGTTATAAATAATTGAAGTACAGTGAACAGTATAATAAAGAAATAGAATATGCAAGTTTAGAGGTTTTTATGATGAGAGTTTTGTTGCTTGTATGACCATTAGCTCTCAAGTGTCTGAAGAAAAATGTGGGAAAGTTTCATGGGAGGGAGTGAAATGAATGTTATGTGCACTCTTCCTGCAGGCACTGAAAATTTTATCCATTGTTTCTTTGATTTATTGGTGAAAAAATGTGCATGGTGGCATGGTACAAGTGAAAATACCAGATCAATTTGATTTAACTATTAGTATTTAGTATACAGCTTTTGTAGATTGACTCTTACTGGTGCCTTTTTTTTTTTTTTTTTTTTTTTTTATCTGTTTTCTAGGAAACCAGAATCCCCCAGAGCAAGGTCAAGACAAAATGCTAGTGAAGTAATAGATGGTACTCCGAAAAAGAAAAAGCAGTGCAACTGTAAACACTCTAGATGTTTGAAGTTGTAAGCTTTTGGCTCTCATCATGCGCTTTCTTTCATTAATGAACTGCTGATAAATTTGGTGATCACATTGAATGAAATAAGGAAAGCCTTTACTTTGTAGATTATAATGGTTCAAGTTGGTAAGGCCTAAAATGCTTGGTTGAATGTTAAAGTTTTTCTTGGTGTGATTAATTTATGTTTCTGAAACAAGGAAGGAATGAATTAAAGCTGATGGTTTTTTTTTTTTTTTTTTTTTTTTTTTAAATCTTTGAGCAGCTATCTAGTATTGGCTTCATTCATTTAGTGCTTAATATGGAGCTGCTGATTTTCTATATTTATTTCAATATATTTATTTCAACCCTAGTACTTTGGTATTTTACTAGTACTAGTAAAATCTGAAACACATAGGGCGCCCTCCTCATATGCAATCAATTAAGATATGTTTCTCATTGAATATTAGTTAAATGAGCGGTTGAACTGTTTCAAACACACTACTCTCATTGGACCCTTGCCTCTTCGGTTGAGATTTCTGTGGTTGGAGTGATGGATTGCTCCAACTGCTCTTCCAAACATATCTTAACGTATGGAGACACTGTTCATTAGTTGATCACTTTTGGCTCCTGTTTTTCATATTTTGATGAAGAAAACTATTATATACACTGCTAACAGAGTTTGATGAATGACAACTATGGACTGGCCTCTTTGATTCTCACCTGAAATAGTCGCTAAAATCTTTATAACTATATTATCTGTATTAGTTGTTATGAACTTATGATAGTAATGTCAGTCATATGATTTTATTTTCCTTTTTTTTTTTTGGGTTTGTTTTCTTGGCTATGGATCAGGTATTGTGAATGCTTTGCGTCTGGCATAGATTGTGATGGGTGCAACTGTGTAAATTGTCACAATAATGTAGAAAATGAAGCTGCCAAGCGAGAAGCTGTTGAAGCAACTTTGGAGCGTAATCCAAATGCATTCAGGCCTAAGATTGCTAGCAGTCCCCATGGAGTTCGTGATAAGGTAATCTCAAAAACCATTGTGACTTTGCAGTGTATAAATTGTACGAATTCTTATTACTGCTATGTTGAATTGTTGATGGTCTTTGATTATGTAATAATGTTAATATTTAGGACAAAGCTCGTGATGGGCTAATCCTAGGAAAACATAACAAAGGATGCCACTGCAAGAAGTCGGGATGCCTTAAAAAGTACTGTGAGTGTTTCCAAGCCAACATCCTTTGTTCTGAAAATTGTAAATGCATGGATTGCAAAAATTTTGATGGAAGTGAAGAGAGGCGGGCTCTCTTTCATGGAGATCATGCCAATAACGTGGCATATCTGCAGCAGGCAGCAAATGCTGCCATAACTGGTGCCATTGGGGCCTCTGGCTATGGATCTCCTCCGGTGAACAAGAAACGAAAGGGTCAGGAGCTCTATTTTGGGTCAATGACAAAAAACCCTGTACACGAACTCGGGCAGTTTCTGCAGGTGATTAAAACTTAAAAGCGGTCTTCTGAACTTTGAAATATGTTCAATTGGATTACCTGGTTGAAATGAATGGCCGATGCATTTTACAGCAAGCTTGGTGAAATTGTGAAATTCTGATTGTTTTTATGGTTTTCTATTGTCCCTTGATGTTTTTATAGCCCAACCATATCAAATCTTTTGTACCGCCCTCTAAGGTATCTTCAATTCCTTCTGCTCATGTTGGAAATGCAGCGGCACTGGGCCATTCCAAATTTACTTACAGGTACAAGAATATTTCCTCAGTGTACGTTTACTTCTTTACACGGTAAACTCACTATCTGCATTGCTGCCGAAGGTCCCTGTTAGCAGACGTAATCCAACCACTCGATTTGAAGGACCTTTGCTCGGTATTGGTCTATTGTTCAAGGGAAGCTGCGAAGGTACTTGCAGGTAGATTCATAATACTTAGATCTCTCTCCCCTTATCTCATTTATGGGTTATAAGTACTTTAGAGTTTAGAGTGCCTGATTACATTGATCACACTTTTCTTTTATCTCTATTGTTTTCTCATAATCTCCTAGGTTCCTGTTCCGAAAAATCTTCTTGCACTTTGAGATTCTTTAGATTGAGAAGGCTACATAATACTCACGCCTAATTTGCTTCTAAATTGTGATGTCTAAGCGGTAAGAAATCAGCTAATATGATCAATGTGTTAAGCATTATCTCTTCCAAATTAAGGGACTCTTGCAAGTTCCTATGTCGGTGCCAGAACAATATTGCCCTGTTTGGTAAAAAATTGGCCTATAGGCCAATTTTGGCTTATTTGACCACTATTAATTGTTTGATTTAGTTAAAATATCAATATAAATGTTTGGTTAATTACCTTTTTGCAACTTCAAAAGGTTAAAATTCAAAAAGCTACTCCAAACAACTTTTTCAATTAGCTTTTTGAGAAAAGAAATTACACCAAACAGCTATCAGCTAACAGTTACTTTACCAAACACTTTTCTACAATCAGCTAATGTTATCAACTATTTATGTCCTCTAATTAACACAATCAACTAACAGCTAACAGTTATCAGCTAACAGCCATTTTACCAAACAGGGCCTATATATATTCCGTATGAAATGCCTTCTAAACCAAATGGTTATACCTTACAGGACAATACAAAATTATTAACAAGCATTATTTACTAAGGTTGTCTTGGTAAAATTGTTGGCCTTGGTGCTTATTCTTTTCACGTATCAGCAAAGATTTTCGTATAATGACCACAGATTTGCAATTTCTAATACTTCCAGATGAAAAGGAAGCAAGAGAAAAACAGGCACAGGAGTGGAAAGAAACATCGCTTGCCTCATCATCTCAAGAGCAGTTCGAGAATAAGAAAGATTCTGTTGAGAAGCCTTTGCATGATGATTGTTCTAGTTTGGACCATGTTGAAAAACCAAGCCCGGATGACCCTAATTTGGATGGTTCTGATGTGTCAAAACGGAGGCCAATGTCTCCTGGAACATTAGCACTGATGTGTGATGAACAGGAGACAATGTTTGTTGCTGCTTCCCCTACCGAATTATCAAACCTTGGCTGTAAAACGGCTTCCCAGTCGCTCCACGGGCAAGGTGTGACTGAAGTTTATGCGGAGCAAGAAAGGGTTGTTTTGACAAAGTTCCGTGATTGTCTTAACAAACTCATTACTATGGGAGAAATAAAAGGCAAGTTACTACATGAACAACTGCATTTTCTTGGAGCTGACAAACCATAAGTAAGCCCTGGATCCTGGAGGCGTTTTCCCTGACATCTTTTTTTGGTTAGACCACGAGGTGTCCTGAGCAGACCCTAATTGCAGGAGGCACCTTTAAGCTTGTATCATACTCAGACTAATCCCCGTTCGCACCGGGCCGGTCCAATTAAGGGGCAAGTCAGATTGGTTTTTCCATACGAGAGGGGGTTTAAACTCCCGGCCTCTCTTAAGGGACGGGAGTGCACATCCACTCACGCCAACCAAGCTGGTTATCAAGTCCTGTTGTTACATAACATTAAAACCGGAATGGCCATGATAGTTCATTCGCTCATACTTTTAACCAGCAATTAGTCCCCCGCCAATCCACCCCCACTTTTCATTCCATTTTAGTCACTACTTTCGTGTAATGTAACTCACCTGATTATTTGACTAACTCCATGTATTGTTCTCCACAGAAACAAAATGTTCTTCAATGGCACGGGCATCAGTGTCAGCATACCAAAAGGACGTGATCTGCAATGGCACCGCTGTAGCTGAAACGCTGAATCAACAGGTACCCCATACCAATGGTGTTGTTACCAAGTCTGCTATTCAACCATTTCAACATCAATAAAGAACACCACAAACGAAATGGGTATTATCACAACTCCAGGCACTGGTAATAACCACGTCCCGAACATTCCTTCCTTGGGAGAGATTGGTGATCAAAAGCCCAAAAATTGAATGGCACCTTACAGAGATAAAGTTCTAGATTTGCTCAACACTAATGCATCTTGGTAATCTTATTCCACTTTTTATTAGTCCCCATTTGATAGCACTAACCAGTTTCACGCGATTTGCACACTGTTCAATGTGAAAATTTTTGTCGTTCTGTTGAAGTGAGCCTTAGCCTCATGTGCATAATAAGATGGTAATTTTCCAATAATTGCCAGAACTGTCTCAGTTTTAGGTGAAGATATTAACCCCCCCAAGGTGTTCTTTTTGAATTCATCTCTGCTTCTCTGCCATGTCACTGTTACAGCAGCCATTATACCCTGGGCTATGATCGACGTTGTAATATGGATCACCGATATAAAATTTAATTTTTGTATATTAAAAGGTAATTTTTTGAATGTTCATTATATTACTTAAAAATGAACATATTTAGTATACTAAAAATGAATTTTATTTATGGTCTACAATATAATTTGCTCTATTAAAAATGACAAATTATTGTGTGGATTATAACAAAAATATATTTTTAATATATTAAAAGTATATTATCTGTGTACTAAATGTACATTTTTAATATACTAAAAATATATTATTTGTGTATTGAATGTACATTATTTGATAATATGATCCACACAATTGTGTAGACCATAATGATTGGTTAAAGATTGCCTTGATGGACCAAATAAAATGAAGACCTTAAAAGGTTCATTAAGGAAGAGTTGGTTTTACTATATGAGGAAGGTCTAGTATGTTTCTGAGTGGTAAGTTCTTTGTACACACTGATATTTAATCATGTTTGTTAAACTATTAAGTTATCGTGATTTACATACTTCGAAATACTCTGTCGTGCCAGGATGTGAGGATCTTGGATTTGAAATTCAATCGTTTGGGAGAAGATATCAAATTGCACAAAGTTGACAATTTTTATGAATCAATGTTACAAACTTGAATTACAAAAGAATAAATCAATTAGTCATACATAATACTTTTCGATTTAAAAAGATAAAATGTTTTATTTGAAGACTATGATCCCTCCTAATTTAGGATAACACTTCGTTCATTTTCTAAACATAAATATAAGGGCAAAAAGAAAAAACTGGCACAAGTGTCAAATAGGCCCATCAACTACTACAAAGTGTTCAATTCCCACCATGAACTAAATTAAGTGTCAAATAAATCTATCTACTAGCTAAATTCATTCAATTGGCCTTTTTTTTACAAGTTACCAACAGGTTGCCTATTTAATTATTAAAATAAATAATTAAAATTTTTCAAAAAAAATAAATAATTAAAAAAAAAATGAAAAAGAGAACAGCCACCGGCTGTCCGGCGGCTGTCCTCTTTTTTTTTTTTTTTAAAAATTTTTTTTGTTTATTTTTTTTAATTACTTATTTTAATAATTAATAGGCAACCTGTTGGTAACCTGTAAAAAAAGCCAATTGAACAAATTTAGCTGGTAAATAGACCTACTTGACACTTAATTTAGTTCATGGTGGGAATTGAACACTTTGCAGTAGTAGATAGGCTTATTTGACACTTGTGCCGAAAAAACAACATTATTGAATTAGAATGTCATTCCATGACTCTTATTAGGCAAGGGAAAAGATACCTCTAAATCACAATTTTGAAACTTGTAAAATATAAAAACAAATGAACAATTCTATTATGCATACATTTATTGGGCAGCATATGGGATTTATTTCCATCTGGGCATATTCGAAGGTTGGATCGTCAGCCAAACAGTGTCTTAGATACGCGATCTTGTAGCTGAAGACGTCGAAGCAGGTGCACTCTGCATTAAAAGGGTTTACATTATTTTTCTTTTACATATAATAGAAATGAGGATTGATCTTAAGGGCTCTGGTGAGAAAATGCCTTAAGCTAAATGGTAAAAATACTCGAGGTTCACAACACCAGGTATATATGGGCAGTTCTTTTACTTCTAGTTTTTCCATATTTGTATGCTTGAGTCTCGATTTACTTTGGCCTACTACTACATTGAGTTGGCATGGGAGAAGAGAATAATTCATCGACCAATGAAAAGGTGAAGAGAAGTTACCAATCGGATGCCTTTCAGTGCTCTCTCTTCTAAGAATCTCGACGGCTTGAAGAAGTTCCCAATACCGTACAATTCTGACCACTTCTTGAGGCTCGTGTATATGTGCATGGCACCAACAGTGTCTGCCCAGTAAACAATTCCGCCACTGCCAACGTTAAAATGATTTGTCAGTAGAACTCTAAGATCTTTTTTTGTAAGAAATAATCAAGTAGAATTGAAGCATGTGCTCCATCTCAACTAAAAGCCTAAGCTGATAGTTCAACACGCTCCCTCACGTGTGCTGTGGGTTCCATCGAACCCATGACCTTTGGTCTGGCTCTGATACCAAATTGAAGCATGTGCCCCATCTCAACTAAAAGCCTAAGCTGATAGTTGGATTACACATTAATGGCTCAAAAAGTAGGAGTTAACCTAAAGTAAACACTACACTCCCCTCTAGATTTTTTTTTTTTTTTTTGTGGGGGGTTGGGGGGTGGGGGATGTGGACTTAATTGTGAATCTAAGGAGTGGAGCGTAGCATTTTTAATTAATTAACCTAAGCTTTGATCGTAATATCTAGTGGTGGAAGTGTGCAAGTATAATATGGTCTCCTCCTAGTTGTTACATTCTAATCCGAAAGGCTAACTTAGGAGTTAGCCGACTTGGGAGACATCGCAAATCTCTCAAAAAGAGAAACCTTGTTGTCTGTAAATCTGTAATATAAAAGATGGCTATTACTGATTTTTAATGAAATTGGAAATAATTACCGGTAAGATGGGAAACTCATTCCAAGAAGAGAAGCAACATCAAGATCTGATGCTCGAACAACTATCCCTTCATCCAAGACTCGACATGCCTCATTAACAACAGGAAACAGTATCATCTCGACAATTTCTTGGTCGGTGACAGATATCGGCTGCAAATCATTTTACGATGTAAATTACTCACTATACAAGTAAAAAAATTGGTTCTAAATAACTCATGAAACATGAACTGCCTCTTTTGAAACAATCAAAGAATTGCATAGCAAACTCTAAAGTTTGTCATTTAAGAGTAATAATACCTTCCCTCCAGGCATAATGTTAGTGAGCCTTCTAGACTGCTCTACAAGTGGAAGTACTGAAGGATCAGGTTTTGGTTTACTTCCCTTCTCGTAAATGTAGTATCCTTTTCCATTATTTTTACCTGCAAACCAGGGTCAATGTGGATATGGGGCAAAAAAGCAATTATGAAGAAGGTAATTAGTAAAATATTACCATTCCGTCCACTTTTAATAAGGAGGTCAAGCAAAGGAGACTGATATGTACGGTCTGCAAAAGCAGAAGCAAATTCTTTTCCTACTGCAACAGCAACACCATATCCTGATAAATCTTGAAGCCTGAAAAACATGATTTTAATACACTTATCTTCAATAAGCTTAAATATTCACAAATATCTCCTCAACATTGTTTCAGTTAATGAAAATGCAAAACAGAATAACTAAGCACTGAAATATCATAATACTACTCCATATTATTTACTTATTGTCATGGTAAAGTATAACATGTAAAAGCCAAATATGTTTGCTAACCCAGGTCAATGACAAAATGAGGGGAAAAATCACCACCTTGGCCATTGAGAAATAGTCCAATGGTCAGACATACTCACAAAGAAATGCAGATAAATCGTATCATATAAAGGAAAGATAATTAGTTAATTACTGGAATGGGCCCATAGGGAGACCAAAATCTGCAATTAGCTTGTCAATCCTGAAAACATCCACTCCCAGGTTGACCAGGAAATGTGCTCCCTGTGAGTATGGAAAGAAGGTCCTATTGACAGCAAAGCCAGTACAATTACCAACAACAACTGGTACTTTTTTTATTGCTTTCCCAACTGTAATAAGGTCAAGAATTGTTTGAGCTGAAGTCTTCTCTGTCCGTACGATCTCCAAAAGAGGCATCACATGAGCAGGACTGGTTGTAACAGAATTAAATTAGGGTTGATTGGAAGATCTTAAAAAAAAAAAACACACACACACACACACTCAAGAAGAATGACAAAACTTACCTAAAAAAGTGGGCCCCTATAATCCGATCTTGAGATCTGGTCTGCTGGCCAATTATGTTGAGGTCTATAGTTGATGTGTTGGTTGCCAAAATACAATGTGAAGGACATGCCTTCTCAATGTCACTGAATATCTTTTGTTTCAGTGGAACATTTTCAATCACAGCCTGCAATCAAGATCTGACTACATTAATAGGTTATAATAATATAATGATATAGGTATAAACTATAGCATGCTTTTGGATCATGATCAGGATTATCTCAGAAAAGCAAGTAATTAACTGAAAATCCTAAAAGGGTAACAAAATGTACAAACTCAATTATCAGATAATTCAAAATAGCAATGCAAGTTAAAAGTTAAAACATGTACCTCTATAACCATATCCACATCCCTAAATTCTGAGTAATCCAGTGCACCTTTAAGAATTGACAGAGACTTTTCAGCTTTGTCTTGAGCCAACTTCTTCCTTGACACCAAACCACGAACATTTCCTGCAGTATATAAGCATTACAACATAAGACCACAACACAATAATCAGAAATGCTCAAGAACTCAATTATGTTTTCAGCAAGGCATCAATTACCAAAAATACATATCATCTCCATAATAATAAATGTCAATTACCTTCAATGGTTTTTAATCCCTTGCTAAGGTATTCAGGGTTAATTTCCTTAAGAACAACAGTTATATTGCTCAGAAGAAGAGCTGTAGCTATACCAGAACCCATTAAACCCCCACCAATAACAGCAACTTTCTTTATTGATGTTGGTTTGAGGCCTATATCAGTGATGCTAGGCACCTGGCACAACAGTCAGAAAGATGTTTGAGCCATAGATCCCAGTGAGAATTTACTTATGAATCCAATAGGATAACACATAAATAGTTCTATGACATTGTACTAGCATAAGCAAGGCAATTTGATGAGGAATTGATGTTCAAACATTATACCAATCACAAAATCAAAGAGAGGGAATAGATCCTAAAGCAGAAAAAAAAAAAAAAAAAAAAAAAAAAAAAAAAAGAACCACCCACAAACAAGGTTAATAGGTATAACCAAAGTTAATGACCAATTCCAAGCCATGTAAGTTACAAACTCAGCATACACTAGGGAAGATAGAGAAAACAAGGCTAAACCAAATGGTGAATGCTATAGCTCCTAAAGAAATCCTGACTACCACTGTACCACAACAGAATCAGTGCAAAAAATCACAAATACAAAGCTATTATTAATTTAATTTCCTGTGTATTTTTTCTGCAGGTCAATATTTTTCCTGGGGTAAGTGGGGCAATATAGGTTGATCAGCTTTGAAAATACTCATGGTCCTGGACGTCTTATGCAACTCCGTATAATTTGGATCAGTTAATTAGACACCTACCTAGCAAATAAAGATAACATTGGTCTAAACAAGCTAGGATATCTGCAAAGTGACTTAACATACAAAATAGCTGGATGAACAGATGAAACTGCAAACATGACTTAACTTTGAAGACTACATATACATTAAAATAACAGACCAAGTCTTAAACAAAAATAAGCAGAAGAAGCACCAACAGTTGAGCACATTTTTACTTTTTGATAAGTAATGATTAAGCATGTTTTGCAACTAATAAAATATATTTTGGCCACGAATGGCAATTAAGCATAATATTATTTATATTAGCATCAAATTGTCAATAAAAAATGTACCATAATTGTCAATTACATAAAGATTACCTTAGATGTCGCCCTTTGTGCAAAAAATGCATGAACAAGACCTTTAGAAGTATCTGATAATACAAGCTTATCCTTAAATACTCTGGCCTCCTGCTCAAAAAAAAAAAAAAAAATTGTATTATTTGCTGCTTCACTTTTACCCAGAGTTCAAGAGATGGAAAGTTGGATTGGGAGAAGTGAGGCAGAAAGAAAATGGAAGTTTGTCATATCAAACTGTACAAAAAATACCTCTAACACTCCACTATGTCCTCCATGGAGAATACCTTCTTCAATTACATCAATGCATACCAGGTGATGAGGCAAGTTGGGAGCAGTTTGCTTTGCCTGTTGTCTAGCCACTTTCAAAATATTGAGTGCTTCTGAAAGGGCACAAAGTTTGTCAGTCCTGTGAAGGGAACGCAACAAAGGTTTGCGACATGCAGCAATATCTAGTGCCCATTGGCGTGACACATCAATCAATTTTGCTGGGGGCACAACTGCATCAACAAGACCTAATTTATTCCCTTCTTCTGATGTTATAGGTTTAGATGTCTGCAAATCATCATTATTGAGCTTTCATCAGTGCAAGCAAAAAGCTTTATTTGAACCACCACAACCTATCTTTTTGTTCCTCATTCAATGCATTTTATTGCCATCTAGTAGGATTTAATAAAAATAAAGTGGTTGCCATTATTTTCAGCCTCTGCAGAATGGGTACACCATACTAGTTACTTACTCGCATCATTTCAATAGCCTTTGGCAATCCAACAAGTCTTGGAAGACGCTGTGTGCCTTTCAAGGAAAATAAAAATTTCAAAACTTAGTTCGTCTCTTAAAAGAGAACTATTTAATTCTAATATCTTAGTAAAAAGTGAACAAACATCAAACATTCAAATTGACAGTTGTACCTCCAGAGCCAGGGATAACACCAAGGGTGAGCTCTGGCAAGCCAAGCTGAGCTCTAGTTGCGGCAATGCGTGCATGGCATGCCTAAGTAATGAATTAAGAAGAAGATTAGAAACCAGGAAAAGGGTTTTATAATTGTACACATTTAAATATATACAAGCATAGTAATAAATCATGAAGCGCTGCATTTAGTATATAAGCAACAAACCAATGCCAATTCTAAGCCACCTCCAAGTGCAAGTCCTTGCATGGCAGCAACAACCGGTTTTTTGGCATCTAAAGAAACATAGCCAAGAGGAACACTGTGAATAATAATGGCAAATCAAAATTAAAAAAATAAATAAAAATCTAGAATAAGAGTTTAAAAGACAGAAAAGAGCCCACCAGACAAAAATAAATCAAATTCAAACAAAATTTAAATCAAGGGACAAACCTTCTATTGTGTTGGACAAGAGGTCAACAGACACATTAGGCAATAAAGAATTATCTCCTGAAGATTCATATAAGTTTTCATTAGTTCTAAGAAAGAAGACCCCCATCACAGAAATAATACTATATAGCAAATTCAAAGAGTCAAAATTTTACCAGTCTCATGAACTTTTTTAAATACGTTGATGTCAAAACCGCCAGAGAACGTCCCGCCCTTTCCTGTAATTAAATGAAACAGTACAGCTTATCACCTTCACAAACCAGCACAAAAAGGGAGTGAATTTAATTCCCAGACCTACCCCCATATATAACCAAAAGACACCAAAAAAAAAAAAAAAAAAAAAAAGAAAAGAAGGTAAAATCCTATTAACTACAACTTGGAAAACTTGGTTCAACACGTTCAATAACCAATACCAAATCAGCTAATGAAACTAGCAAAATTGTCAATATCTGAAAGCGACAATTGAACTGAAAAACCTAACGGTTAAACGACTACTTACCAGTCAAAACTATAGCTTTAACATCGTCTCTCCTCAATGCCTCCGTAAACTTCTCCTTCAATCCCGCAAATACTACAACACAAATTCGCAATTAACAAAGTTAATCAAAAGCCGAACGAACCTATGCAAGTATAGGCGGAGAAAAAAAAAAAAAAAGTAGAGTAGCATACTTTGAAGAGCTAAGGCGTTAACGGGAGGATTGGAGATGGTGATGAGAGCAACGGCGTCGTTTCCGACCTCCATCGTAACAGTAGGCACCGCCATGTCCTTTCCACTTTGATTTGCAGACAAAAAACTGATTCAGAATGGGAAAGCGAGTAGATAGTGATGATCTGATGACGCGGTTTATATTTAAATGAAGAAGGTGTACTCCATACTTCCTGAGTTGTACACCGTTGTTTTCAACCGTCTTTGTATTGACTTGACCCACTTTTTAAACCAGTGAACCAGATATCCACGGGACTCCATGTGTTTAATTCAGATTAGATTTTAAACAACTAGTATTTTTATGCGCAATATGTAAAAATAAATGTCAAATATCTATATCTATATTTCTATATTTATACTATATATAAAAAAAATTCTCCATTTTAACTTCCCGCATAAAATAGTTCTATACTATTAAGAAGATTTGCGTAATCTATATCTATTTATACTTACTATATATAAAAACAAAATCCTAAACTTTAACTTCTCGTCCAAAATCCTCAAATTTTAATATATTATTTTCTACTTTACTATTCGTACATTAATTCTACGTTAAAATTCTTATTCTAATATTGTAAAATAGTGTAATACAATTCCATAATATATTGTTTCATACTTTCCTATTCGTACTACAATTCTACATTAAAAATCCTATTCTAATATTATAAAGCCTAATTCCATACAATACTGATAAAATAAATGTCAAATATCTATATCTATATTTATATTTATACTTTTATACTATATATAAAAACAAAATCCTCAATTTTAACTTTCCGCATGAAACAGTTTTATACAATATTAAAATTCATATTTCTATTCGTTTCAAAAAAAAAAAAAAAAAAAAAATTCATATTTCTATTCAACAATATTATAGTATTCATTTTCTCGTTAAAAATTATATTCTCCATTATTAATTTTATAATTCTTGATTAAATTTACTAAATTTCAAACTCCCATTAAAACTTAAACTGTCTGACTGATTATTAAGATTTAAATAAAAAATTCTTAAAATCATGTCTGTTTAATTACTCGGCCCGTATCTTCCGATAATCACATAGAAGAAACCTAGCTAATTCCATACAACATGATAAACCAAGTTAAAATCAAACTCAATCTCTCAACTCCATGTTGTACTCATCAAACACTCTTAAATCACCTATAAATTAAATATAGCCCAAAATCCAGCACTTCATCACCAAGACTAAAACAGAAGTTTAAGGAAGAGCGAGCCATTTGGAGTTTGACTTTTAAATAAGGTAAAATTTATATTCAACAGAAGATTGATTAAGAGCCATTTGGAGCTTGGCTTTCAATCAAGTAAAATTTATATTATCACGTTTTTCTTTATCAAACAAGTCTTTATCTGTAGGGGTAAGAAAAAATACTTGCAAAGAACAATACAACTACAACGAATAAGGAAAAGTGTCCGGTTCATTAGAGTGGTATTTTCATCGTCCACTAGAAATCAATCATTCCTAAAGATTAATCCTACATTCAGGAACCATAATGGCGGTAGCTTTATATCGTCAATTGTTCTCGGAGATTGTCCATCGCTTCACTATTCTCACTGTATGAAAGGCAAAAATGAATGTTCACAACAAATGATTCAATAGATTAAATCCTTGCTACAAGGAGTGTATGGTTGCATGTCCACCACGTGGTTTATTGTGTACTACTCACAACAAGCATATACATACATATATATATATATATATATATATATATATATATATAAGGGAGGATTTTGTTTTTATATATAGTATAGATAGATAACAATTAATATATTCATATATAGAGGATGAGGAAAAAAAAAAAAAAAGTAAAGGCCATATGGTGAAAAAAATATATACTTAAGGTATAAAAGTATAATTGCACAGATATTAGTATAAATTAAATAATAATAATTATGGTAATTAAGCTAAATATGAATCGTTGAATTTATTTTTATAATAATTATAATTAAATTATTTATCCATTTTTCTCTTGTTTATTTTAGTAATAATATAATTACATAAATCATATTACATATCGATTTTTTTAAGATAATTGCAGACAAACGAGTCATATGTTATTCAATTAATTGAGTGATACTTTTACACTAATCTTATAATCAAATAAATGTACATTTTCAAATATTAGAATTGTTTAAATTTTATCTTAATTTTGTTATCTAAATATATAATAAAAATTTTATCTATGCATCGTGAGTAATTGAGCAATTATTTGCTTGAATTCAAGCAAGGATAACATCAAAAAAATAATCGATCCAACCTATTTCATCAATTGCACAATATAATATTTGTTATTATAATTTATATAATTGTATATCGATTCAAATATTCTTAAATATTATAACAAATCAATTTCGTGCAATGCAAGGGTGAACATACTAGAATTTTAAGAATATTTGAATCGATATACAATTATATAAATTATAACAACAAATATTATATTGTGCAATCTATTTAATATTAAAAATACAACCATATTAAAATTTCTATTCCTATTTTTTCATTACTACTCAATATTGAATTAATGATATTTAGTTTACTCCAATCTATTTATTCGACTTTTGTTATTTACTTTTCATTATTATAAATAAACTATTTTTTTTTCCCTTTTAAGAGTTGATGTTATCGGATTCCGATAAAAAACAGTTTGCTTTGGAGGAGTTCGAGAAGTTGCTATCTCTGTGGGGGAAGAGCATGAAGGACTTTTCATAAATGCCAACTCTAGACGAAACTAGCATAGGTCTGAGTGAAAACATGTTGATAGCTAAAGAGTTGGCATATGACAATGAATCGTTGAAGACAAAGCATGAAACATTGGTAACACAATTGACCGACAAGCAAAAGAATTTTACGACTCTGTGATGAATGATATTGATTCCAATGGAGGTGGATTGTTCTTTGTGTATGGTTACGGAAGAACAGGCAAGACGTTCGTGTGGAGAACGTTATCGTCAAAGATAAGGAGACACGGTGATATTATTCTGAATGTTGCTTCCAGTGGAATAGCATCTTTGCTCTTGCTGGGAGGCATGACGACGCATTCCAGATTTGCTATACCACTCTCCGTGAACGAAGATTCCATCTCACGTGCAATATATCGCAAGGCAGTGACCTTGCTGAGCTTATAATAATGAGCAAATTAATAATATGGGATGAAGCACTAACGACGCACAAACACTATTTTGAGGCTTTTGACAAAACCATGAGGGATCTATTGAGGTTTGCCATACCGGGTAGTGCTGAAAGACTTTTGGTGGAAAGACAATAGTTTTGGGCGGTGATTTTAAACAGATCCTACCTGTTATTTCGAAAGCAACAAGACCATTAGTTGTCGGAGAAAATATTAATTCTTCATACCTGTGGACAAATTGCAAGGTATTAAGGCTCATCAAGAACTTGAGACTACGGACCTTAGCTTCAGAGGAAGATAGACAAACGGTTGATTGGTTTTCAAAATGGATTGCCGACATCGGAGATGAGATTGCAATGGTTGTAAACTATAGTTCATTTGAGATCAATATTTCGGCACAATTTTTGTTGAAGTGTGGACACAATCCAATAGCAACTATAGTGCAAACTGGAAAGCACATTCCCAAGCTCGAGATATGGCATGCTTAATGAGTCGCAGCTAGAAGGCCAAGCGATCCTCTCGCCGACTTTAGATGTCGTTGATCAAATTAATCAGTACATGTGCGACATGAATACTGCAGAAGGATGGATATATTTAAGTTGTGACTCTTTGTGTAAGGCAGAATCAGACAGTGAAAATCTATCAGAAGTAAACACTCCTGAATTCTTAAATAGTTTGAGATTGTCGGGTCTTCATAATCATTCATTGAAATTAAAGGTCGGTGCACCTGTTATGTTATTGCGGAACATAAACCACTCTTTTGGTCTTTGTAACGGGAAACGGCTCATCATCACAAGATTAGTAGATCACATTGTCGAAGCAAGAATAGTTAATGGGACACATGAAGGAACCAAAGTTCTTATCCCCGAATGTCTCTCACTCCTTTTGATACGAGATTTCCCTTCAAGTTCCAGCGTAAACAATTCCTGTTTAAGCTTTCATATGCCACGACTATCAACAAAAGCCAAGGTCAAACACTAACTCATGTTGGGTTATTGCTAAAAAACCTATCTTTAATCACAGAAAATTGTATGTGGCTTTTTCCTGAGTCACCCATCCTGATGGCCTGAAGGTGTTAGACCTAGACAATGATGGACAAGATTGTGTTGCGACTACCAATGTCGATGACAAAGAGGTTTTCAATATGTGTAAATACAATTGATGATATTATGTTTTCCTTTTAATTTTTTTTTCAAAATGACAAAATTGCTATATATCTAGACAAAAATATATCATTTATACAAATAAATTAAGATAACAATTGATTACTATAACTAAGTTGCTAGAGAACGAGCACATTTCCCCAATTTATAAAAATTCTAAACAATGATATATACAAATCTCTAAAGTTACAGCACCGCATGCATGCGTACATCTACACATTAACTATTAATTTAAGCAATTATTTGCTCGAGTTCAAGCAATGATAACATCAACAAATATAAACGATCCAAACCATATCTTCAATTGCACTATATAATACTCCGTATTTGATGTTATAATAATTCAAATAATTGTATATTGATCCAAATATTCTTAATATATTATAACAAATCCATTCCGTGCATCGCACAAGTGAAAATACTAGTTAGTAATTTATACTAAAATCTTTGATTTATTTAGATTTTAGATATTTATATTCAGAGTATTGTATAATAATAATAATAATGTAAATTATTTTTACAAATTTATATTTATATTTTAAAAGATAACTTATATAGTACTCCAATATATAATGTCTATATATTATTACCGTTGAAGAAAATAAAAAAAAAAAATATATGGTGGATGTATGTGTATACTAACATTAGTTTGGAAAAGATAACGAAAGTTATAATGGTGTGAATATTTTTTACCAAAATATTGTATAGTACAATTCTTATAGCATAATGTATTAAAAAAGTAATAGAAAAAAAAAACATAAATAAAAGAGTATAATCTTCATTCACACTTATTGGTTTTTACTAGTCTTTTCTATATGCGCGATGCGCAAAAACATATGCCCAATATTTATATTTTTTAAAATAACTAACAAATCCCTACTAATTAAAATCTATATGAAATCAAATTTATTTATTATAATAATCCAATATATAATGTCTATAAATATTATTATCATTAAAGAATATAAGAAAATATATGGTGGATGCATGTGCATAGTAACAATAATGGAAAAGATAACGGAAGTTATAACTGTAGGAGTATTTTTGTCCAAAAAAGTATATAGTACAACTCTAAAAGCACAATGTACAAAATGATTAGTATTAAAAACATGGACATAAATGAGGGATATAACTTTGATTGAGACTTATTATGTTTTTAGATTAGATTGAGAGAATAATAAAATTAATCTTTAATGAAAAGTAAATTTCATCTTGTAACGTTTTCCTCCTCCTCCTCCTGTTGTTGTTGTTGTTGTTGTTGTTGTTGTTGTTGTTGTTGTTGTTGTTGTTGTTGTTGTTGTTGTTGTTGTTGTTGTTGTTGTTGTTGTTGTTGTTGTTGTTGTAATAATAATAATAATAATATTAAGTGATTTATGTGGTGCGAACTATTAGGCTGAATAAGTATTAGAACTTAATTCTTTTCAAAAGGTTGATCCCCAACCCTAAGAGATCCCCACACCCCGGTCCGACAGAGCATTTGGGAGGATATAAATCATGGTAACTCAACTGAACATGAACTTAATTAAGCATTAGGTAATTGGTTACCTACATTGATGAGATGTAGGTATTTAGACTCTTAAGTCATCTCACTGCTCAGTTGACAACTCATACACCATCTAGAGTAACTGAGAGAAGTGAGAGAAACACTATCTGGTTTACGGTGATTTCACAGCAGCCCGAGGAACTCATGTTCAATAGACAACGGATTTAGGCAACCAAGAACACAAGCTATGGCTGGAGGTTAGTGGGATTATGCTTTATTGCCACGTATTAAATGTATAACGTGGATTATGTGCTTACACTTCTAACCAATTTGATTGGCATGAGTGATCATATACTCTCATTTATTAAGAGTGGTTAGGAGTGTGCGAATGGAGATTAGTTTAAATATGGTATGAGTTTAAAGGCCTTGTGATCTAACCAAAAAAATTGTGCATTCAAATTACAAAAAAATGCCATATTAGATCTAAAACTTTTTAAAAGTGCAATTAGAATATATATTTATGTGAAAATTACCAGGTAATGTTAATGTGATTTTCATGCATAATTTTCTTTGTATACATGAATATTACATAGATTATTTTATTTTAAAACAATTATTTAAATAAAATTAAAGAAATTTATAAGTTATGTTGACATAGCTTTCATATGCATCCATGTTTACACACACACACACACACACACACACACACACACACATATATATATATATATATATATATATATCACATTAACATAATTTTGTAATGGTATATATGTAACTTATAGGTAAATGTGTTCTAATTGCACTTATGTAGGCCCGGCCCTGGGCAAGGACAGGCTAAGCCCTTTGTAACACTCCCGATTTTCACAACTTTTAAAAATAAATTAAAGCTTTAGGAAGAGATGAAGTCTACTCATTAAGATTAAATTAAAGCGGAAGCTAAAAGACAAGTATGGGAGATGTTATGCCACACCTACACATCTATAGGTGCACAGGCTAAATCTAAACAAAACGTCAAAGTCATACTTATAAAAATCCACGGCTCACAGGCCACAAGTCTAACTAAAACAAGTCCCAAGGAGTTACACTAACTAACGATCTGCTAGCGCGCTCTCCAAGATGCTACTCAAAACCTGTAAAGCAACATAAAGATAGGGGATGACACCCGGTCAGCGAACATTGCTGGTAACCCATCAACACGCGTTAAGTACCATATATAGATAAGTATAAGTCAAAACCATTTTCGAAACGGAATACAGTATATATCATTTCAAAAGCCATAGAGAGAAGTCAACTTCAAAGACTCATTCACACTCTCAAGGATAAAGGAAATCAACATCCTTACGACAACAACAAGACAAGAATACCAACTGTAACCAATACAACTCGAGATGTATTCTACTGATCACAAAGTAGAATGCATCAAGACATGCTCATTAGCAAAGAAGGCTAGATTCACACCATAACGAGTTCCAAGTCCACATAGGACACTATCACACCAAGTCATATACCGTGGAGTCAGCACCACGGCCCGATTCATAGTGGATCAGTGTGGAGGGCTCCAAATCATCAACAAACATGTATCATGTAGTCATTGCAACGACCCGGATCACATGCATAATGTCATCGCAATGACAAGGACCGTAGCCCAATGGAAACAGAGCTAGCAACTTTAAGTGTATACACCCCCTATTGAGATTCCAAGCTCAACGGGTTAGCTACCATCTCTGGCAACGGAGATAAGTTTCCCATGTTGCCCACAAGTCACAAGTAACCAAACGGCAATCCGGAGCTTCACTACCGGTCTGTTTACACAGAAGTCCCCACACTATCCACTTTACCAGCTCAATCATCTCATCACATCAATCCAACATCCCAACAAGAGTCAATACACACGGAATCTAGAGATATAACAACACCTAGATTCCACACAAAGTGTGTACAACAACGGATAAGCTCAACAATAGCTTAATCAAGGAATAATCGTACACATGGGATCACATCAAGGGATTCAATCAAGGGGTTTCAATGAAGGACATGAAACGATACTCAACAACAGCAATGGACCTCAATCTAATATCAACATGATTGACAACACGAGTTGCCCATCCTCAATAGAAAGAGACAAACAACACATACTAGCATCAATGACACCAAGACTAGCATGCATATCAAACGGGTAAACCAAAATAGTTCCAATGAACCACAAAGACTCAACATCAATCCAACGAATCACAAGGTTGGATCATAAGCATGATTCAAGACACCAAATCCTAACATGGATTCCTAACTCATCGTTCTAGACATACGAAACATCAAGAAGACTCACAAAAGCTCAATAATTCAACAACGGGAGGTCAAAACATCAAATACCAAGAAGAAGGGATCACGGGGAACAAATCCCCGCAATCCCCAAACATGTTCCCCGCGGGTGGGGCCACGGGTGGACCTCCACCCGCAGTTCCACCCGCGGGTACACCCTGCACCCAAAAATCAGCATTCGCAATTTTGCACTTTTAAGGCCAAGTTCAAGTCCAAATGACCACAAATCTTCCACACAACAATGATATGACTTGAACATATGAATAAATCATAAAATGCATTCACGAACCCTAAACACAAGCTCTAAAAATACATTATCACAAGATCATGCATCAATCACTCTAACACATCAAGAATTTCACATAGAAGCCAATAATCATTATTATCAAGTGAAAATAGGTTTTGTGTAGCATGGGTTACCTCTTGTAGACCAAGAAAACCTTCTTCAACCTCAAAGCAAGACCAAAGATCCTCTAGATCAACCTAGCACTTCACCCACCACTAGATCTTCTACAAACTCCCAAAACCCACAAGGTAGAAGAAAGATTTAGAGAAAAAATGAAGGAATCTTGTAACGAAAAGGTAGGGAAGGATAGATCTTACCATTCCTAGCCTTGTAGTGTTGGAAAGTTGGAATCTTGGTGGAAGACTATGCAAAGCTTGGAAGTTCCCTTTTTGACTTAGAGAGCAACCTAGGATTCTTTTAGAGAGAGGTTGGAAAGTTTTTAGAACTTTGGCTAGCATGGAATGAAGACAAGAGGTCTTGCTAGGTAAACATGAGCACCTCTCACTAGTGAAAAGACCAAGTTACCCTTACTAAGGTTTGGATGAATAAGGAATTGAGGTACAACACACAAGGCACAAGGTACACCAAGAAGACTAGTCAATTTCTAGTCCTTCGACTATGAAATTTCAGGATTTTAGGAAGAAATTACCAAGGAAGGCTAGGATTAATTCCTTAATTAATCCCAATTAGCATTTAGATTTACGGGGTGTCACACCTTGCCCAGGGCCCATGCTTGGAAGGGGCCCACAATCTTATATAATTACCTTTTATATATACTATAGTTGTTTGATATAATAATAGATCTAGAGTATAAATTCATGTTATTAAACTGAAGATTAGCTGAACTGGAAGACTGTGAGAGTTTGAGGTTTGTTTGCGCCAGATTAAGGGATTGAATCCTTGCTTATGAACCTTTACATCAAAAAAAAAAAGTTTTCCTTCCTACTCTTTAGTAGATGAATTTAGGGATATTATTATATAGTTATTAAAATTTAAACTTATGAAATTTATTTATATTTTTAATTTGTATTTTTTAATTTAATTTGTAACTTTGTGATTTTTGTACCTTTCTATTTTTATTTATTTTTTACCTTTCTATAATTATAGTGAGATTTATAATATAGATTGATTTGTGATTCATATCAAATTTTGAATCTATTTCTATTCGAGTAATTTACTACTTATATTTAAAATATATGTTATTTTGTGAACATTATAATGAGTTATGTATATGTAATATATTTTGTGATTTAGTTATGAAAAATATTTTAAAAGATAATTTAATTTTTCTATGAATTATCTAGTCAATGTAGTTTAGAAGTCTTATTGTGCGTCATTGTATTCAAATTAATTTATAGAATTTTGAAATTAATCTAACTAAAAAAAAGTATTTATAAATATGATATCAATATAGAAGATGTGTGATTTATTATGTGTTTTTTTATTCGAATTATTTTATCCAATTAATTATATTTCATATTTTATTAGGAATATCTATCTTTTATCACGTTTAAAGTATTTTGCTTTATTGCTCCCAATAATTATGATTTTATGCTATGCTCTCATTTGTAAGTTTTGTATTACAAATTTTTATTAAAAATAACTTCATTATTTATTATAATTATAATGTGATTTTCTATAAATGTTTAGAGTATTTTGATTTATTGCTCCCAATAATTAAGTTTTATTCATTTTTATAAACTATAATTCTTTATTTATGAAAGCACTAATGCAGTTATTGATTATTTTGGATTTAAGAATGCATCTAGAAATATTTTCATGTGTATGTATGATTGTTAAAAACTTGAGAATCTTATTTCAAGCTATTTAGATATTTTTATATTATTTAATTTAAATTTTAATTATAAAGACATATATTAATTTACTATAGGGCCCATTTTGTTGCTACGCTCCGGGCCTATAAAATGATAGGACCGGGCCTGCACTTATGTAAAGGGTTCAAGGGCTAATATGAAACTTTTTGTATCTCGATGGTGCAATTGTCTATTTCTAAATAATTTGGAGACTTATTTGACCCTTCTTCTTATATATATATATATATATATATATATATATATATATATATATATATATATATATATACACACACACACACACACTAATAAGAGTCAATAAAGTTAGACTTATAACGGGAACTAAAAAATGTCTGTCAAATTATTTGATGAAATGAATAGTTCAGATTATTTTGATTTTAGTAATTTTTTTTTATTTTTCTACTTTACCCTCTATTATATAATTTACCTTTTCTAAAAATACCACTGCACTCAGTTAATGTAAATTTTAGTAACGGAATATTTCGTTAACTATTTATTATTCTTACTCATTTATTTTCATAAGGAAGGTCTTAGGTTCAATTGCACTATCTCAATCAAAGTTGGCATGATTAAATTCATCACTATTACTCTTATTAAATTATTACTAGTTTTACACGCACATTGCCCGAATAGACTAATGCCTAATGTTTATAATAACATTATTGTTGATTGGGTCTGAGTTCTATGTGAATTTTGTATGTAAAATCCACATTTAATTATCTACTACAGATTTGATTTTTTAAGATTCACCACCCGCTATCTACGAAAATTTCAATTCAATCTATACAAGATAAATTTGGTTGGATATCCATATATAGGAGGAATTGATATTGCTATTCCAATGTCTCACCAATATAATAGTCAAAATCCGTCCCTTGGTCCTCCTGGCCAGCTTAAAATATAAGTGTGTATGTTTGTGGTGAGAGATCAGATGTGGTTGTTACCTTTATTATATATATATATATATATATATACACATGCAACTACCTAAAGTCGCATGTAGTGTATGCAATGTGTGTATACAATTTATACTTAAAGTTTAATGAATGTAAGTGTAGAAAGGTAGGTTTTGGTCTATATATTTTGGTGGGACTACACCTCATTTCTTTAATATTGCACATGTAATTGTTGTTTGCATATTTTTTCCCCTTTCACACTTCACCAAACATTCAGGTTTTGGTCTATATATTTTGGTGGGACTACACCTCATTTCTTTAATATTGCACATGTAATTGTTGTTTGCATATTTTTTCCCCTTTCACACTTCACCAAACATTCAATTAGAGTTTATCTAATATACTGCTTTTAACAAATTCATCAAGAAATAAATTTAAATTTACACTTACGCCCTTTTTGGTAAAATAGTTAGCCTATCAGTCAATTTTGTCTTATTTGATCACTATTAGCTATTTGAACTAGTTAAACAATCAATATGAGTGATTGATTAATTAGTTTTTTTGTAATAATTTATTGTTTCAAAATGCTAAAATTCAAAAAGTTGTTCAAAGTAGCTTTTTGATCAGTTTTTTGAGAAATTCATTTTGCATGTAATCAGCTATCATATAACAACTAATTTACCAAACACTTTTCTATAATCAGCTAATGCTATTAACTAGATAGTCAAACTCACTAACATAATCAACTAATAACTATCTGCTAACACTTATTTACCAAACACCTCATTAAGCTGAGGTTACATGTTGGTAGACCATCCACGTTTTTGGGGTATAGCTGACGTTTGTGAGAATATGAAATTATGAATCCTAATGAATTTGACATGATTGCTGTTGAAAAGCTACAGAATTAGGGTATTCTAACTTTTATTTATTTATTTATTTATTTAAAGCAAGGGTATTCTAACTTAGAGACAAATAATGGTGTGTCTTGTTCATGAGTTTACACTATAGGAATGAAAATCAAAAGTATAGTTAGTTTTTGATTGACAACTTTTTAAAATATAACTATTGGATTTGCTTACCCCTTCAATTAAAAATCTCATTCCCTAATTAAAAAGTGTATCATTCTATCTTATTGGTAATATAATTTTTAAGTTTGGATTAGTACTATTAGATTTTTGTTTTGATTTTTTTTGTTTTGTTCATATTGATGCTTTGGATGTCATTATATTAGGATCAATTACCTTGAATCCTTGATTGTTTGTTTTTGTATTTTTAAAACATTTATTTCCATTATAGGTCATACACAATCAAACATCAATATTAGTAAACATTCCAATTCCACCCTACTACCAACATGCAAAATACTTTTACCAAAACCATTACTAAGTATTTGATTTCCATTTCGATTCTGATTCTCATGTACGAATCAAACACAGTGTACCCTAAGTGTTATATTCATATATATCGTAGCATTAAATGAAAACATTAGAATCAAGCATTGAAGTATGAAAAGCAATTGGAAGGTTTAATGAATTGAAAGTGATTTTGATGAGATGCATAAGCATAATAGTAAGCATAATTAAGTTGGGTAGTTGATACTGCAGTATGAAGTGTAGTTGAATATATATAGTGGCATGACGGGTAGTTAAATATCATGCCCAACGTACACATTAGGGATAGTTATTTAAAAAAAGAAAAAGAAAAAAAGAAAAAAAAAAAAAAGGGATAGTTGAATATCATGTCCAACGTACACATTAGGGTTGACCGTGATTTTGACAAACATGTAAACCCATCGATTGAATTAGGGGTGTAAACGAGCCGAGCCGAGCCCGAGCCTGGGTATGCTCATGCTCGAGCTCGTTAATGATAGCACTGCTCGAGCTCGAGCTCGAGCTCGGCAATTGTCGAGCTGCTCGAGCTCGAGCTCGAGCAGCTCGATTCTTCGAGCTCGAGTTTAGGTTAGAATTTGAGCTCAATTTTGATCTCGAATTTGACCTGTTTGATTTAAAATTTAAACTACTTTGTTTTATGACTTTTATCCATACATAATTATTAAACTATTTTAATTTTCCTCCCCTAATTATTATTTTTATATACTAAATATAATATAATTATATTATATATTATATATTATACAATATATTATAAGGCTCGTGAACGGCTCGTCGAGCTGCGAGCCTACAATACCTAAGCTCGGCTCGTGCTCGTTTAATCCACGAGCTGCTCGAGCTCGAGCCGAGCTCAATTTTGACCGAGTTCGAGCCGAGCGTTAATCGAACTGCTCACGAGCGACTCGTGAGCGGCTCGGCTCATTTACACCCCTAGATTGAATATGATGGCATGGAGGGTAGTCCGAAGCATGCACGTACATGCATGTTATAATAATTACTGTTTTTTTTTTTTTTTTTTTTGAGAATAATTATAATAATTACTTTAATTTGGAAAAGGGTATTGATGGGCCTAATTAACCTACCTGTGTAAGATTTTCCCTAACCTACATGTATTATATATTAGCGCCTTAATTAAGTGGTGCAAGTTTAAGTAGTTTGATTTGACTAAATAACTAAAAGTTGTTATTCAACCAGACTCTATGCTTAATGTAAACCTGTATTGATAGGATACATGATATTCATCATATAGCACATTCAGTTACGGTACTCATACTACTCAGTAGACACATATGCACCATCTGTGATTCTGAGTCCAGTATGAGGCAAATAATGACTAACGCTGGAGATCAACACTGCTTCCGCTGCTACGAGGTCAGGTTTAATCTAACAACCTGATCAACACATACACTTTTAGATGATTTAGAATTTAGATAGTGATGGAGAGAACAAGGAGTAAATATAATATGACAAATTATTCTATGGACTCGGGTCCACCTTGAGATACACATTTACATACTAAATGTTTATAATTTACTTTTTAAAAACTCAAAATTTGTGATGACCTTGGGCAATTTATATCGTGCACCAGGGCGTACATTGCATTGTGCGCCCTTGTGCAAAACGACGTCGTTTTGTACCCTTTTTTTTTTTTGGGAAATTCCGCTTTTCGCGTCTGCGATTAACTTCTTTAAAAAAAAATCTCATGTTTTGAAATGTACATAATTGCATAACAGAATGTATATAATTGTATAACAGAATACACATACTCTTTTTTGAAAAGATAATACACATAATCTAACATAATACATAACACACATAAACTTTTAACATAATACACAGAAAGATCATATTCGGCCTCTTGCACTGGATAATATCCAACAAGACTCGAATTGTCGCAGGGTTGCCAAGCCCCCGACAATTCCACGGCAAGAGACTCATTGTGTCTGCATCGCAGCACCCGCCGGAAAGATGTTGTTTGTCCATCACTCGATCAATATCTAAAAAATAAAATTAAAACCTAATAGATTTTTTTTTGAAGGGTAAAAATGGAATAAAACTGAGCATCCCCATTAGTTGATTTTCACCATTTTTTAGAATGACTTTACTTAGGTGGAGGAGAGAAGGGGAGGAAAGAGAAAGAATAAGGTCTTCCTGCAAAACTTGGATTTTTATCAGAAATGTGAGACCCATTGAAATTAAATATGGCTCAGCTTGCTTCGCGTGCACTGCAAAACCAGCGCCCAGCAGGCGCGTGCAATCCACGTGCCCACTGTGCGCGTAAACCTGCATTGTTTATCTTTTTTTTTTTTTTTTTTTTTTTTTTTTTTTTTTTTTTTTTTAAAAAAAATTTCTTTCATATTTTGTTTTCTCCATTTTCTATTTCCTCCTATTTTCTCTTTCGTAATCACACTTACAAAAACTCCTCAAAAATCACACCAAAAACTTCATTATTATTCCCAAAAACTCCACTATATAAACTCCATAAAAATCTCTTCTACAGAAATATCAAAGATAAAAGCTCCATTCCCTCAAGGGTGGAAGGAAAAATATTTGGTTACGGACTGAGGGTTTTGATGATGGGTTAAAACAAAGAAAAATAATAACAATGAGAGGATAAGTGCTTAGCACTTATTTAAATAAATAAAAGGTTCAAAGGGGACACAAGGGGTAATAACATATATAATGGTAGGCTTAAAGGCTAATGGCTAAACAAAAATGGACTAAATCACTTCAAAACATGCAAAACTTAGGAGTAAGAGTTTATGAGCTGATCATATTTCAGCTGTTGATATTGATGATATGAGCTGTTGATCATTTTGCATCAATATCAAAACATGCAAAATATAAAGTTCCGATTTTTCATTAATAAATTGTCCTGTATATTAATGAATTGCCTTGTACCCCACTCCGCTGCTTCGTCTTTCTTCGTCATCAACAACAACAAGACTCTTCACAAAAAAACTCATTTAATAGACCATCTTGCATACATCCGCAGTAGTACAATGGAAGATTTTTTGCATGAAATGGCTTCCATTAACAAGGGTACATCATCTTCAAAATTTTATACAGAAAATTACAAACTCAGGAACCTGAAAACAGTAGAGCAAATTGCTTTATGTGCCAATTTTAAGAGAATGACGGGAAATTGCAGTCACATGTAGAGACACTAAGATTTTGAGATTCAAAAATCAAAGAATTTACAAGTGGAGAAGGTCCAGACAAACGACACAGCCTTGCTGTCACAGTGGTAGCTGTACACATGACAAGGGTCAAGATTCAATAAATTTTAGTTATGTTCCCTCTGTTGATATTGATGCAAAAGAAAAAAAAAGTGCAATATTTTACTTCGAATTTTATATTAAACTATAGAGCAATCATATTTCAGTTTATGAGCTGCAAAGAGAAATCATATTGCAATTGAAAGTGTTGGTTTTTTTCTTATGAAATGACTTGCTGCATAGCTGCAATATAAGTATATTTTATTTGATATGTATTAAAAATTCTTATTTAATTAGCCAGCCAATTGCAAGCAATCAAGAATGCAAAATTTCATTCTATGAACAACTCTTAATCTAAAAAAAAAAAGGTATAGAATTACAGATAAATATATGCAGAGCAAAAACTCTCTTGTTAAAACATCTATTAATTAACCTCCAAAATACCATGTTTCAACCAATACAATATTCATTGAGCAAAAAAACATTACAAATTGGCATTGTTACTGCTAACATCAAAACACATGGTTAGTGAATATACACAAGGTAGGCTTCTTTAACTTCTTTAGAGCTGGTGGTAGTCCATAACACATCCTAACTCCATGTTCATTTTGTTGGATGATAGAAGTTGAGCCAAGATGTTCTTCAACTATGACAGGTTTTTCTTGAAAAGGAGTAGGGTTTTCTTCAAATGGTGTCGAGAAATCAAACATATTCATGAAGTAAATATCATCTTGAGTGATTTGTTCTTCATTTACTGGAATGCTGGCATGTTCTTCA